TATAAGTCGCTGATCGCCGCCATTGAAGAAAAAAAAAAAAAAAAAAAAGTTAAAATTCCAGTGTACTGTCATTTGTAGACACTATAACTATCACGTAAACCAATTAATTTACACTTATTGGGATTTTTTTTTCTAGCATGTAGCAGAACATATTTTGGCCTAAATTTATTACGAAATTTGATTTTTAATTTTTTTTATTGGATATGCTTTTTTTTTTTTTTTTCAAAATTGTCTGTCCTTTTTTTTTCCTCTTGTTTATAGTGCAAAAAACACAGAATTGATCAAATACCACTGAAAGAAAGCTCTGGTTGTGGGGGTAAAAATACATAATTTCATTTATGTACAGCATTGCATGACTGCGCAGTTGTCAGTTAAATTAACGCAGTGCCGTATCGTAAAAAATGGCCTGGTCAGGAAGGGGGTAAAGCCTGTGGAGGGCAAGAGTGTTATAGGCATTCCATCAACCTGAAGAGGATTGATTGGTTTGAGAAGGCTCTGAGATCAGTTATAATGGACCTTGGAAGAATGGATGGCCCTTGTACAAAGAGAATTCAGCAATTCCTTGTCTTGGCCATATGCTTAATAAATTGTGACAACTTGGTCATCATCATCTTAGTCACTGTCTACTTGAACAAAGCAATAACAAGCTACTAGTAGCTATATGACCTAGTCCCTAAATTCAACATATAAACACTGTTCGGATGTAGCCATGGACTTTTTGACATATAGATAAGAACACTGCATGTATAAAATGGTTTTTATATATGCAGTGTTCTTATCTATACGTCTCTCAAAAAGTCCATGGCTACATATGCAAGTTGTTTATAAGCTTCAAGAAGTGCTGAAACTCGCCAGTAGCTTGTTTAAAGTGGCAATCAACACTCCCAATTAGGATCTGTGTTCAGCATTTACAAACTGGAGCTGAATGGTACTTTAAAAACTTCAACAAAGCTTCCTATTCACACTGCTTTTGTACAAGCTGCAGCTCGTGTGAAACAGGCCTACAAGTGCAGTTGCACTCATTTTCCCCAGAGCTTGGTGAATATGGTAAAACGTTGCTGATTTCCAACATCCAATCATGTGCAAGCAAAAAGCTTTTTATTATATTTTCCTTGCACATGATTGGGTGTTCTTTTTGCATGCATACCCAATAAAGCCAAGTTCAACAATATAGAGCTTGGGTGCTCTTCTCCATTTAGCGCTTGTGTGGAGACTATTCCACAATCAATATTAGTGATCAAGCAGCCAGCTGTGGCCCAGACTTGAATGTTCAGAACACTGCAACACACAGCCAGGCAGATGATCATGTGGTACTGAGTTAATTGTCTCATCTAAACCCTTGTTTTGTGGACACTTAGCAGGTTTAAGTACAAACTCCCAAGGGCACTATTCAAGTGTCAGTGTGAAGGAAGGATTTAAAAGGAAAGAAAAAAATGCTTGAATTTTAATTGTGTTCACATACCAAATATCTGAAGAATTGTAAAACAGGCTCAACATTTACATGTCAGTACAGAGCAAGATGCTAACTGTACTGCAACAATGATCTTTTCAGATATATACGATGTGGCATAGTGCTGTAACCTATAGCAACCACTAAGATTCTCTAAATGGTTGATTGTGACTGGTAGCTTGCATTGCACTATTATACTTTTTACTACCTTAAGCCTTGACTCAGTATGTAGATTGACAGGTGCTACCAGCTATCAAACTCACTGGGACTGCACTGCCTGGTTCATAGTTGTCGCATGGTAATTTACATGCAAAATTGCCCTTTAGCAAACACAAACAGAAGGCATTCAGGAGGCAGCAGTGTTGTCTCCTTGAAGATGCTCCTCTACAACCCTCTGAAAAGTGTTCCACTGCCAAAGATCTGATGGGTGGTAAAGATCTGCCACTGGTGTAAATGAAACCTAGCTGAATAAGCCTATGATTTACTTAATGCTTTGGTTTAGACAGTTTGATGCTTATGCATCTCAATTACCTGACTCAATGGCAAACCGTATTGCAAATTCATACACAGTGCCAAAATTAACTACTGTTTGATTTTATTGTAATTACATAAAGGTGGCAAGAAAATATAAATTACATGTTGAAATTTTAAGTTGCATTAATATTCAATTTATTAACGTGATCAATAATAATAATAATGCAATATTTGTTGTGTTGTAGTTTTTATTTCATGATCTGCTTAGTGTTAAGAGTGGAGTGGCATTCCTGGGTGGCTTCAGCCACTCTTCTGCAATTATATGACAAGATGTCAGAAACACCTGTCTTCCTGCATAGTTATAGTTAGTCTGGCTGAAAAAAGACAAAAGTCCATCCAGTTCAACCATAGGGAAAAAAAAAGTTATCCTATACCCACAGTTGATCCAGAGGAAGGCAAAAAAAAAAAAAAAATTTGAACTTCTCTGCCCTCCAGTGCCAGTCACATGATCAAATGCTGAAAAAAGAATTCTGGGATTCCTGGCACATAAATAGTTTGTGCCAATTTGGACCAAATGATTTTTTTTTTCCAATGCCAGAATGGACTGACTGCTGCTTAGACTAACATAATGTAGTAATTTAGGTTATGTACAGTATGCAGGGGTTGTGCTTCAGCAGCAGAACTGATGACGTTCCTTCTACTGACAAAATCTGCACCATGGAGTTGGAGAGGCGAGTGAATGATGTCACAATCTCCACTTTGGACAAAAAGAGGAAGCCTTGTACTCATTGATAAAACTATAAGGCACCACCTAACTGGGGGAGATGTAGTATGGGCAACACTCTGGGAGTAGAAGGGAAGTCTCTGGTACCTCTGCCAGAACACGGTGTCACCTACTGTACATACCACAAGCTACTACAATATATTATAGCCTAACCAGCAGTCAGTCCAGCCTGGCATGCAAAGAATTGGTTTGGTCTAAATTAATTATTTAAAACCTGGGATTTTCTTTGAAGTAATGGTCACATGGCCTAGTCAAATAGGCTTTGGGAGCAATGAAATAGCTAACAAGTCAACTCTGCCTGGCATCCGATCCTCTCACCTGACCAAACCAGAGGAGATACAAGTTCACAAAAAGCCACACTGCTGGCCTGTCCCCATCATTACTTGAAACTGATTTAGAACATAAGTCTCATTAAAACAAAATGTTTGAGTTGCCAAGTGGAGCTTTTATGACTATTTTATTAGTTTGAATATATGCACATTGATCACTTACACTCAGTTTAATATTCTTTAAGTAATGTATGTGTTTGCTGAAGAGCTGTAAACCATCTACCATAAAAATGACTGATGTTGAACTCTAAAGTATGATACTATACGCTCAATCATTTTGTACAAACACAAGAATCATTACATAATTTATTTGCAGTTTAGTTATTGTAGATTGATGCCTGAGTAAAGCTGCAATATTTGCATATGCAACAAAATATTCATACACATTCAGTCTGGCTTGTGCTTGTTTCCACCCAAGATCTCCCTCTAATAAAAGTACAATTGGATTAATTTATTTGATTGTGTTTTTTTTTTTTTTTTTTTTTTAAGTGAAGCACTGATATGTACAAATTGCATTACTCTGAAGATCACTATTTTTTACCGCTCACATTAATTGTGTATAGTGCAGGAAATAACCATGGCAGAAAACACATTGACATCAGTAGTAAATATTACAAAGCTTGACAATTAAAGGAAATTTCTACTTTCAGAAAGAAATTTGACTGGTACATGTCACAAACACTTGTCCGGAAGGGGTGTTACACTCAATTCTACCCAGCAGCTGATTAATAACCCAGACCCCACTGGACATAGGATTGGGGGGCTAGCCTGCAATGTAACATTTGGGCACTGCCTTGTGGTGGTTTCTGGACCGTATATAGTGTGAGCTACACAGTGATCTCCAGACCCAGGCTTGTGGCACACCTATGCAGTTTGCGTTTGATCTGTTTCTGCAGTGCTTTTTGCGGTGTGTGTTTTGCATTTTTGCACGTTTTTGATGCATTTTGTTTTTTTAATGTTGCTAGGCAGATTAAAATGCAAATGCAGCAAAAAAACACACTACATGCTTTTCTGCAGCATCTCCATTGAAGTCTATAGAACCAAAAACGCCCTTTCCAAAAAATACACTGGGTGAAAATGCGGAGATGTGAACGTGTCCCATAGGAAATCATGTTAAATGGATTGCAGTGAGTTTCTGCAAAACGCTGCAGAAAACTTTTAGGTGTGAACCTAGACTTAAGGCAGGTTTAGCAACATTTAGAGCATCTAATCAAATTCTGGATGCACATAATTACATATAACTGCAGCTAAATACACAATGTGAACGGTACAACTGACAAATCATCACATGCATTTAGAAATGTCCTCTAAATACAAGTATGACCGTGCCAGTGTGATTGAGGCCTTAGGGTTGATGGAGAATGTGATGCAGGAAAGGTATGTTCCATGCGCATTTCTCACATCACATTTAAAACACACACTGCCCTTGCAATCTGCATACAGGTACCCATGTAATATTAAAAGCACCCCAAATGCAGACTGCAAAAGTAGGGCATTTGTGGGCACCAAATTGCATGGTACCACAGTACCATGCGATTTGATGTGTGTTTTAAAAGTAGTTCATATACTACTTTTTTCATGTTCCAGTGCGATCTGCAGCCCATTCAAATGAGTGGGCTGCAAAATCACACCACACTGAACACCTTTGGGATAAACTGGAACATGGAATGCAAAGACGGGTCTTTTTGTGTAACATTAGAACCGGATACCAAAAATGCTTTTAGTTTATTGCTCACAAATTCCACAGATACGCTCTTTCCATACGAGTGCAGATCACTAGGGTATATATACACACAGTAAATTGTGTATATACACAATATATATATAAATACAAAAACTTTACATAAGTGACAGATGGCAAAGCAAATTTTATCGCATCCTATTCAGATTCACAAACTTGTTTTACATCAAATGTAAAAACTCTATATTGTGATATTTAACATGGCAAAGTGCAATGCTACAATCACTCATAAATCTTCAGTTCTTCTTCCACACATTTGAAAAACAGTAAAGCTATAGCAGAGCTATCATTAGTTCCATTCTGTAGCAATAATTCTACCTCATCCAAATTCTGTTTTTCCAAGTCTTTTATTTTTTTCAACAACTCCTTTACCTACAATGAAAAAAAAAAAACTTTTAAGGGCAAGTCACTGATGAATTACACCCTTTTGCTTAAAATAAAACTTGTTTCAAAATTAAATCACAGATTCAAAGAAATTAAATTGCCCCATACAGTGTATAGGAGCCTCTATCATGAACTGTGATAGCTGTGTCTACCTTTGAGGTTTCTAAAGCCCTCAGAGTTCTTCCATGCTTCTTATAAAGCTCGTGCCTCCTGTCTGGTCTTGTCTGGAACCTTGGATTTAATTTGACGGGATCGTCCGAGCCCAACACGGGTGAAGCTGTATTTACAAACTGCTGAATCTGAGGCACAAAAATGAAGGGCTTGAACACAGATCTAGGAAGAAATAAAATTGAGAAGGATAAGCCCTAGTTCCCATTGAATCCACTTTTTTTTAATAAGGATATATGTAATTATTACAAGTATGTGGCAGTTTTGCAGGGCATATATCTCTGCATCACCACAAATTGGTGTTTTCAGTAATGCTTAATGCAGGTCATACAGAGGGCTACATACTTTTTTAAAATCACTCACAAAAAACAGGAGAATTTGTATTCTGTTTTTTGTGAGTGTTTTTATTCCTATGGAATAAATTAATTCTTAACTGCTGCACTTAGCTGGTGACTTTTTCTCTCTCTCTAATCTTAATACTTAGAGTTGGCTACACTCTCAAGAATGGCTGCCGCTTTTTGAACCCCAAGTGCATCAAGGACTAAAATATTTATTAATGGACTCTTTAGATTTTTTTGTCCTTCCCTTCAATGCCATTCTAGCCGATTAGCTAATGTTTAACCTGTTTCTATGTTTATGATATATTGGGATAAGCCTTCTCTGTGCGCCAGAACCTCTGCTTTTTTTGACATGGTAGATGCTCCAAATCCAGCACTTTAACATACACATGTAAGGGGTCACACAATGCAGAATGACCTCACAGCTGCATATCAGACATGGAAGCCAATGTGAACATTCCTCCTCCTTCCCTCAATGAGGTGCTTGTGCCTGAGGAACCCATCATTGAGTCCAAACACTGTCTCATATGAGTGTAGCTTGTGCTGAACCATTACCAACTTTCAGAAACATCAGAATATAAATAGCATCTTTGAGGATAAAGTAGCAGAGGGCTTCTACTAAACAGCTGTGGGGTCACTTTGATATATTACTTAATGAGAAATGACAGGAAGGTTTGGGAAGTTGCTACAGATTTGTGCAGACACCTGTACATACACCCCCAGTAACTAAGTCTCTTTAAAGTAGAACTTCACTCTCTCAATCAACATTGACTATTTTGTATCCTGTTTTGAATCCTGCTGTTAGCATTAGTAAATACATAAAAAAAGTAAAAGGGGAGAAGGGGTTTTCTCAGCTAAACACACCCTCCTGCATGCCTAAGCTTAGGGCAGATGGATTCTTGGAAGCAAATACTACATGAATCTTCTGTTCTTACTAAAGATGGCCACTGCCAAAAATGCTAGGGGGTGTTTTTCAAAGTAACGTCTCGCCAAAATAAAGCATGGAGACGTGGTTGGAGAGTTTGCTTTGAATATTACAAATTCATTTACTAGCATTTTTGGTTTGTGATGCTCAGATGCAGTGTAGTTCAGCTTTAAGTAACAGAGTAAACCAATAGATACATATAAGACATGATCCAGTGTAGTACAGTGTTTATGGCACTAAGGGGTCAAGTCACTAACAGTATTTCCCATGAGAAGGTTGTTTTGTTTTTGGAAGCATGACATGTAAAAATAAAAGAGTCAGTTCACCAAAGTAAAATATCGAATTTGCGGTAAATACAGATTCGTGAAATTCAGCAAAAATTTTTTTGAGAATTCATTAAAGTCATTTTAGTAAAACAAAAAACACATTTGTTATTTATCTTATGGTATCCTTAACAGTCAACATTTTAGGAATGCACCAAATAACAAGGAAAAATCTCCACTGCCCGGTTAGTTAAAAGAAAACAATGCATCAGTGTGGTAATGTTATGCACTTAGCTCAGGAGTGTATAGAAACCTATGACACTGCACTAGAGGGAGATCATTCTGTGAGGGCTGGTTTATGTCAGGATTGCACTGGAACACACAGGTTCAAACCTGCACAGTGCGATTTTTACTGCCCATTCATTTGAATTCAGAAAAAGTAGTGTATGCCCTACTTTTAAAAATGCACCAAACCAGCAAACACATTGGTTTCTACGCAGAGCAACACCAGATTTTACACTCTCCAGTTTTAGTAAATCATCCCCATTGTGTTTTTGATCTGCATTGGGGTGCTGTTAACAATAGATTGGCACTCACACGCAGATCGCATGTGAAATGCATTTGAATGTGGTGCAGGAAATTTGCATGTGTTCTGGTGTGAACCGACCCCAAATGATGGCACACTGAACATTTTTTCACAGTTTCACAATATTTCGGTGTGCCTTCATTCACAGAACAATCTCCCTCTGCTGCAGAGTTGGCCTGTAAAAAAAATTGCAACAAAGGTAAATAAAAAAAAAATTTAAAAATTTGAGTGCTAAATATCGCATTTGTTAACCACTTAAGTTCTGGAGATTTTACCCCCTTCAGGACCAGGGCATTTTTTTTTTTATTATTCGGCACTGCGCTATTTTAATTGGCATTTGAATGGTCATGCAACACTGTACCCAAATTAAATTTCAATCTTTTTTTTTTACACAAACAAAAGCTTTCTTTTGGTGGTATCTGATCACCACAAGGTTTTTATTTTTTATTATATAAATGAAAAACAGACCAAACAAAAACAATACTTTTTACTTTCTGCTATAAAACATATCCAATAAAAAAATTTTAAAATCTAACTTCTTCATACATTTAGACCAAAAATGTATTCTGCTACATGTCTTTGGTTTAAAAAAATCCCAATAAATGTACAGTTGTGTCCAAAATTATTCAACCCCCAATGCTGTAAAGGGGTTTAGGGACTATAGTGTACATTTGGAATTGTATTCAGAATCAAATCCTACAAGGACGTTGTAACTACCCAAATGCAACTAAAATGACATCAATTGTTTATGTAATACAGTAGTAAATGGTTCTTATGTGGTTTTTCATTGCCACAATTATTCAACCCCTTAAAGACTACCACTCTGAAGAACAGAGGTTCATACAGGTGCTTTCCATCAGGTATTGAAAACACCTGTGGATGTCACCGAGCAGCAATCAAGCATAATAAGCACCAATTAGGCAGCTTTAAAATGACTGTGATACTCAGCTCCTTCTAGACATTTACTGGTGTGGTTACAAACATGGTGAAGGCAAAGAGAATGGTCCAGGAAGACAAGAGAAGAGGTGATTTCTCTTCACAGGAAGGGCAATGGCTATAAGAAGATTGCAAAGATGTTAAACATACCAAGAGACACCTTAGGAAGCATCATTCGCAAATTCAAGGCAAAGGGCACTGTTGAAACGCTACCTGGTCGTGGCAGAAAGAAGATGCTGACTTCGACTGCTGTGCGCTACCTGAAGCGTAGAGTGGAGAGAAGTCCCCGTGTGACTGCTGAGGAATGAGAAAAGATTTGTCAGATGTGGGTACAGAAGTTTCAGCCCAGACAATAAGACGCACACTGCGTAATGAAGGCCTCCGTGCCAGAACTCCCAGGCGTACCCCCTTGCTGTCTCCAAAGAATAAGAAGAGTCGACTGCAGTATGCCAAAAAGCCATGTGGACAAACCACAAAAGTTGTGGGATAGTGTTCTGTGGACTGATGAAAAAAAATTAGAACTGTTTGGGCCCATGGATCAACGCTATGTTTGGAGGAGGAAGAACAAGGCCTATGATGTAAAGAACACCTTGCCTACTGTGAAGCATGGTGGAGGGTCAATCATGCTTTGGGGCTGTTTTGCTTCTGCAGGTACAGGGAAGCTTCAGCGTGTGCAAGGTACCATGAATTCTCTTCAGTACCAGGAGATATTGGATGGAAACGTGATGCAGTCCGTCACACACCTGAGGCTTGGGAGACGTTGGACCTTTCAACAGGACAATGATCCCAAGCATACCTCCAAGTCCACTAGAGCATGGTTGCAGAGGAAAGGCTGGAACATTTTGGAGTGGCCATCGCAGTCACCAGACTTAAATCCGATTGAGAACCTCTGGTGGGACTTAAAGAAAGCAGTTGCAGTGCGCAAGCCTAAGAATGTGACTGAACTGGAGGCCTTTGCCCATGAAGAATGGGCGAAGATACCCGTAGATCGCTGCAAGACACTTGTGTCAAGCTATGCTTCACGTTTAAAAGCTGTTATAACTGTAAAAGGATGCTGTACTAAGTACTAAGATTGAATGTCACTTGGGGGTTGAATAAAACTGATAATGCTGTGAGCACAGAAAAGACATTTGTGGTTATTTCATTATAACTGTTATGTTATATTTGTCTGACCTACAAGTGCCTCTTTAATGTAAATGTAAGCAAGATGACTGAATGATCAAAAGCAATGTCAAACTGGCCAAAACACTCAATTTCAGTGGGGGTTGAATAATTTTGGACACAACTGTATATCAGTTGGTTTGTGTTATAGCGCTTACAAATGATGGTATATATACTAGAATGTTTACTCATTTATTTATTTTTATACTAATGGTGGTGATCAGCAACTTATAGTGAGACTGTCATAGTGGGGTGGGCAATCTGACACTGGATGGGAACTGGCTTAAATGGCACTGACATCTCCAGTGACTCTAATATAGTGATAATACTATACACTGGCTGGAAAAGGGTTAATATCCAGGGACAATGTGTGCTGCTTTTACTAGGAGATGTGACCGTTTCATCTCTCTTCTTTGCAGAGAGAAAAACCTGCCGCATCTCTGCTCCATGTACAGAGCCCTGTGTTGTTGGAAAAAACACAGGGTTCTGCACTGTCATTCACTTCTCATCAACAGGGCCTGGCCATAAATCATTGGCTGAGACCTGCTAATGGCCTTGTGCTGTGGCGAATGATAACACAAATGGGGTGTGGCGGGGGTGTTTGCCCCCCTATCTGGAGTATATCTGCATGGGGTGGTCCACAAGAAGTTAAGTAACACATTTTTAATTGAATTGACTACTTTTGAGATAACCCATGAGTTATATTAAGGCATAATTCTAAATTTCTGTATTAATCGGTTAGCAAATTGACCCCCAAGTCCTAAAGAGATCCTGATGTTTCTGAGAGTTATTTACATACATCTCTGCATGTGACAGTGTCTGTGCCCAATGATAGATTGCGGTTTGAGAAACACATCCAGTTGTGAGTGTCATTTAATAGTTTTGAACCTGACAGATCCAGATTATAACCACTATTCCCTCCATATCCTACACATACCTGGAGGGGTCTGGAGTTCCAGTAAAAAAGTGGCAGCAGGGCTGGGATGGATCTTGTGGCAGGATGGACACCATGCTTCCAGTTGTCATAAAGCCACCCTCCATATTAATGCCACTTGGCTTGTCTGACAGAATCTCCATCATAGTCTCAGCCGTAATGTTTCCTAACAGACATGTAGACAGAGCAGTTATATGGCATGATAATAGGACTTTGCGGTATTGGAAGTGCCTGTGACAACAGTGTCAGATCCTTCTGTGCTGCCAACAATATGTGACAACAGTGGTGCCATATTTCACAGTACTGACACTATTATGTGACAAATTCTGGGTAAACTCACACCACGCTGTCACGAATATATGATGATACTCTCAACCTCACCCTGCACCAAAGATTTTCCAGTTCACGGGGCCACAATCTAGGTGCCAGCATACTGACTGTGATCACAACTGGGTTTAGTCAACTGCGCAATTAACCGGTTACACACCAAACAACAGCCACCAGATGTTTTATTGGAAACAAAAGCTGTTTACAATATATGAAATAATTATGATTTTTAGGAAATATCTGTCATACACACTGTCATGGCAGGGAATGTCAACAAAAGTCTGATCATTGGAGGAGAACACACTGATTTCCCAGCACAGCTAGAGAACTGACCATGATGTGTTCTCCTGCCTAGTGTGATCATTTTTTTTTTTAATAGGAAAGCAGAGGGGCTGGCACAATGGATTTCACACAATGGAAGAAATACAAAGAGAACAGGATATTTTTTCATACAAGTACATGGTACAGCAAGCACACATCAGGAATATGAAATGTTGGGTTGACATATTCCAACATAGCTCAGCTTAAAAAACATTAATGTGCTGATAAAGATATATAATATAATAAATTATATATAAATAAATTGATATAAAAAAAATATATATAAACATTAGAATCATAAGTCCAGTGACAAAAAAACAAAGTGACAAAAAAAAAATCCAAAAAAACCTCAGAAAAAATATATATATATATACAGCAGGATGGCAGACCTCAGCTACAGACTCATCTACTAGGCTAAGATGGCCCCTTGGAACGCACCGCCGGCGTGCGCTCCACTCACCGGAAATGACGTCAGACGACGGACCAGGCAACCGGAAGTGCGTCAACGCGTTTCGCCCCACCCACAGGTCTGCCATCCTGCTGTACACTAAACTGTGGGGTCTCTTACAAAAATCGATGTACATGAAAAGTGGATCATTTTAGAAGAAAATCATTGTTGTTTTGAATAAAAGGCGGGCTATATCCCGCAAAAGAATGTGAGAGGTCTGGAGAGATTAATTTGAGGAGAAATTACTACGGTATCACGCTATGGTCTTTTCTTCTTCCTGATTTTCCTTGGGGGATTCGGTGAGAGGAGTAAGCAGAAGAGGTACCTAGACATAAGAGGAAACAGCATTTGGAGGTCTCACACAAAGTAAAGGGGGTCCAGGAGCCCTTAACAATCCTGAAAGGCGTGTGACTCACCAATATCTGGTGAGTGCGGCTAATGTTGATTTCTGCACTGGTGGATGGTGAAGGGATCAGTAACACGGAAGAACCAAATTATAATTTAATTTGATTTAATTTTGTCACGGGACTGTAATTATATATATATATTTTCTGAGTTTTTTTTGTCACTTTGTTTTTTTGTCACTGGACTTATGATTCTAATGTTTTATATATATTTTTTTTATATCAATTTATTTATATATAATTTATTATATATATCTTTATCAGCACATTAATGTTTTTTTAAGCTGAGTAATGTAATTGACCATGTGGGTTTGCGCTGGTTTCCATTGTTAAAAGTTTTTTGGTCTTTTGTACCTGTACACAGCAGCATCTCACGGGGATTTGTGTGGTAAATAGGAAGTCCTGAGCGCTGAGGTTTTGTTTTCTTTACATATTCCAACATAGACCAACATTGGCATCAGCAAGTAAGTATTACAGCTTGAGCTGCTTTTTTATTTGACAGGTGCTGGGGGTCTATTTATTTTTAAAAAAATTTGAGCCCTTAGCAGGGGCGGACTGACCACTCATGGGGCCCCCAGGCAATAGGGGATCATGGGGCCGCTATGTCCTTGCCCAAACTCAAAGCACACCCAAAAAAGCCTATAAAAAAGGTACCAGGGGCATTTCATGGGGCCCCCTACTGACCCTGGGCAGTGCACGAGTGCTCAAATGGTCAGTCCGCCCCAGGCCCTTAGTCAAGTCATTGCAGTGATTACTCTACAAATTTCCACTTTTAACAAAATAACACAAACATGGAAGAGCAAGCTTGTCATAGTAATAAGGTAACAAAAAAAATGAAGGGAAATCTTGCTATTGTCACTCAAAATGTGGGCTCTAGGGAAATACTCTATATTTTTCAGAAAATTGGAGGTATTCCTGAAAAACAGCTACCCAATCTCTATATAAAAGTGTTCTATTGAACTTTGGGAAAAACTCATGGACACAATCACATCAATAAAAAAAAAAAAAAAATCACATTTAGTGATCAGTTAATCTCACCGTTGTGTTTTCTAAGCAACTTGTAGCCTTCACAAAATCTGTCTCCAGAAGAAGACGATCTAGAGGGGTTGAAATAGGAATACACCGCAGCAAAATTAAACTCCTTTTTCCCATCCCACCAGCCTTTCGTCCTGGCATACTCCCTCATTAATGGGTGTTCACGGTCAATCTTGGTGGTGATAGAGAGGTTGTTGGATATGTTCTTTATACCTTCTGCCAGAAAATACAACAAAATTGCAGTCAGCTGGTACTCCACAATACTACTCATATGATCACATGCACATAAGGAGAACCTGTCAGCAGGGCCAGAGTTACTATTAGGCAAAGTACCTCTGCTATGAATATGAGGAATAAATCCCAGAACCTGCACTAATTCAGCACAGGTAGTTCCTCAATTATTTGTTTCTGACAGATTTACTTCACATTGTCCAGCTACAGACATTGGAATCGTCCACTGTCTGATGCACAGAAAACAGTCTGGCGCATAAAAACGGGCTAGGATTTCAGTAGGATCCAGCATAATGCAACACTCCTTAAACAACAAGAATTATACACTGAATGCCTGGATGTCTCTGATGAGGCCTAATGGCTTCATTGCTCAGATAAACACTTAACCCCTTCATTACCGCAGTACATTTTAAAATAGCAAAATGCTTGACATGCATTCCTGGCATGTCGTTTATAAATGACACTCAAAAAATAAGACCTGGACCTTTAAATGTCTAATTAAGCAGTCATGCTACAGCTCAGATCACAGACTAAAGACACAGAGCCAGATGGAGTGTCTATGAGCCTTGCAATTGCTGGGATGGCCAATCACAATAATCACAAATGTAAACAGTACCACTGTTTATATTTGAGAGCCCATCTCTTCCTCCTCTGCCATTGATTCTCCTAATCTTTTTCCTTTCTCCTCTCTCAGCGGTTCTCCTGCTGATCCTGTAAGTAAAACTCCTTCCACTGACTATCAACAAAAGGGGGCACACTGATCAGCATTCGGTGGGGGGGATGGGAAGCTGTACACACAGAGCAGCAAGGGGGAACAGAGGAAGTATATGGATGATAAACAGGACACACTGACCACCAATGCTATGTGGAAAAATACCACTGATCACCAATTTATGCTGCACTAATCACTGACCAAAAACATTTACATTGCCTTGAAAAAGTATTCATACCCCTTGAAATTTTCCACATTTTGTCATGTTACAACAAAAAACATAAATGTATTTTATTGGGATTTTATGTGATAGACCAACACAAAGTGGCACATAATTTGTGAAGTGGAAGGAACATGATAAATGGCATTTTTTGCTGCAATTACAGTAATTTTTAGGCACACTAATAGCACAAATTACCAGCTACTCTCTCTGCAGCCCAGTACTGGCCAGCAGTCTCCAGGATCCAGGCTTCCTTTCTGTCCGCTATCAGGAAACTGTTGTGGTAGGTAAAGGACATCTGACTTTCCATGCAGTTGCCTCCTTGTCCGTACTTTTCTAACAAACCAACAATGACATCCAGGGCTCCCTCTGCTGTGTCTGCTCTCTCCAAACCAAGCCTACATGAGATATGAAAATACAGCAACGGATGTGAAAAAATATCCTTCTGATTATTCATTCTGCCTTTAAAAATAGGTTTATTTTATAACCTGACTAGGTCCATGCCAAGTAGTGCTTCTTTATCATCAATTTCCTCCTTTCCCCACACTGCTTCATTTCCAATGCAAACACCAAATTCATTGGCTCCCATCTCAGCTCCCCACAACCAGGATGGCCGACTCAATACCACAGCATGCGTCTTCTCTACTTGCTCAATCTTAATATAAGTGCACTTGTAGGAAAGCAAAGGTGAAAAAAACAAATAAGAAATGTATCCATTTGAGTCATGTATGTCTATGCAGCAAATTTTGCATCTTAGGAATGATTACCTCCAGCTCCTCTCCTGCTCCATAAGACCTTCCAGGAAAGTATACTATCTCCTGTACTTCATCGCTGGGCCTGTCCGAGTTCTTTCCAAAGATAATCCGGGCACCAACTGTTGAAGGTGGGAGGGCTATGAAAGTGTCACATGAGCAGGGTTCCATGTTGTCTCCACTACCTGGGACGAAGAGAAGATGAGGAAAAGGACTTCATTAAAAAACTATACGATATATTGTGTGTGTGTGTACAGTGCTCAGCATAAATGAGTACACTAGTTTTGAAAAGTAAGATTTTAATCAATATACACAAGAACAATTTCCAAAGTTTTTACAAAAAACTGAGTTTTATAGAACATTTGTGTGGGGTTTTTTTTTGTGCATGGGCTTTAGGAGAGGCTTCCTTTATGTACAACACCCATGTATGCCATTCCCTCTGCAGTGTACACCATATTTTGTCACAGGAAACTATCACCCCAGTTTGGCTTTCTACTTTATTTAACTGCAGTGAGTTTGCATGGCGATTTTCTTCAACCTTTCTCATCAGAAGATGCTTCTGTCAAGCTGTTAACTTCCATGGACAGCCTGGACGTCTCTGTGAGATGGTTGTAGTTCCATCTTTGTTAAATTTTTGTATCAATTTTGCTACAGTATTCTGACTGATGAGTAAAGCTTTGCTGCTCTTCTTGTAGCCTTCACCTTTCTTGTAAAAATAAATTATTTTCTCTCTCAGGCCTTATGACATTTCTCTTCCATGTGGTGCCCTATTTTGCCCTATCCATTTTACCTTCTATCCTGACAAGTGCTCCAGTCCCTGCTGCAGAGAACCCCCCCCCCCCCCCATGACAGGATATCACCACCTCCATGCTTTACTGCAGGAGTGGTGTTATTTGGATGGTGTGCTGTATTAGATTTCCGCCAAACATATCATTTAGTGCTGTGCTGTAGACCAAATAATTCAATTTTAGTCTCATCTGACCATAACACCATTTTAATTTTCCATGTGGCCTCAGAATCTTCAATGTGCAATTTGGCAAAGTTCAGCTGTGACTACATGTGATCTTACTTGGGGAGTGACTTTTCTAGCAACCCTCCCTTACAAGGCACATATGAATTTGTGATATTGTTGTCATATGCACATGACCACTCTGTCATCAATTCCTGCAACTTCTTCAGAGTTGCTATAGGCCTCTTGGTAGCCTCTCTGACCAGTTTCCTCCTGGCTCTTCCATCCAGTCTGGAGCGACGTCCTGATCCAGGGAGGGTTTGTGTTATACCAAATACCTTACACTTCTTAATAATATACTTTACTGTGCTTCTTGGCATTGATAGAGTCTTTAAATATTTTCTGTATCCATCTCCTGACTTGTGCCCAAGGGCGGACTGACAACTCATGGGGCCACCGGGCAATAGGGGATCATGGGGCCCCTGTGTCCTTGCCCACACTCAAACCACAGCCAAAAAAGCCTATGAAAAGGTACCAGGACATCTCATGGGGCCCCCTACTGACCCCGGGCCCTTGGGCAGTGCCCGAGTTTCCAAATGGTCAGTCCGCCCCTGCTTGTGCCTATCCACAACTTTATCTCAGAGATCTTTTGACAGTGCCTTACCATCCATAGTTGATTGTCTGCTTCATTTGCACTACCAGGGCCTATATGCTCCAGGAAAGCTCTTTTCATGCTGAGCTAATCAAAATGACCACAGCTGATAACAGTTGAAAGTCCAATTATTTTGTGTGCCATTGAGAAGGTGATTAGCTACACCTGATTGAGTTTAGAAATCAGTTGGGGGGGGTGATCCTTTTTCCCAACTCAGTGATTGTTTTTGAATATTTTACATTTTTTTGAGATGTTGGTGTTTACATTTTGTTGCTTTGCAACAAAATATATATTATTTTAAAATGGGTGATTCTTTTCTTTAAATGATAAGTTCATCTTTTAGGAAAAAAAATAATAAATGCACATTTCTTTGCAGGTAAAAAAAATGTGCATTTATTTTTGTCTCTAGCAGCCTGTAAACCATTGCACCAGCAATCAGCAGATCGCTGGTGCCATGCAGGTCTCCTGAAGATCTGTCAGTATATCTCCTTGCTCATATGGGATGGACGAGCAAGCAGATATACTGATAGGAAGAATGAATGAACTACCAATGCGCATCACAGCGCAGCTGTAGTTCACTGAGGACTACAAGCTGACAGCCGCTAAGGCTGTCGGGACTTGTAATCTCTCATTCACAGATGACTGTGAATGAGTGACATGGCTGTGTGGGCGGAGCCCTGCATGGCCACTTTTTTACAAATTTGACAGCTAGCAGGGTGGGATGGGGGCCAGTCTGATCGTAACATGTTACACCTGACTATGGGTGTAACATGCAACATGTTAGGAAACGAGAACTTCTCCTTTAACCACTGTATATAAATTAAGGCCGCAAATACTGGAGGTATTAACATTTCTATTAAATAAATAATAGTTTAAATGTATCATTAAATTGGTTTAATTTAATTTATAAAATCAAATTCCTCTAATACCAGTCTGATTACAGTGGAACCCAGGGCCGGTGCTTCCACTAGGCAAACTAGGCAGCCACCTAGGGTGCAATGCTACCTAGGGGCACAGCACAGGCCAGCACTCTAAGTGGGACGCTGCCTCATCATGAATGATCCTCCAGCTGAGGGGAGGGGAAGCAGAGGGGAGGAAGAAAGGACAGAGGAAGACGTCAGGTGTCTGGGGTCAGTTTAGTAGCTGAGCTGCAGCTTCTTCCAGTGTTCCTCTCAAACTCAGTCCCTTACTGCAAGCCGACTGGTGGCTGCTGATCACTGTTGAGTTCCAGCCCTTCTCTTCCCATTCATCAGTGGAGCTGCACCTGCAGAGGAAGGTAATGTCTAACTCTGATGTCTCGTGTCTGTGTGAGTGTTACCCGGCTGGCCATCCATCCATCACATATGCAATGTGTCAGTGAGTGACGACATCATCACGATCCCACAGCCTGCTCTTCTAGTGCCTGCTGATCTGTGTCAGTGTTGGTGGTGGTGTGTTGTATCAGATCTGTCACTGTGTGGGACCAGTCAATTCAGGTGTTCTCTGTGTGTGTTTGCGCTAGGCTGCCTGCTGTCACAGCATTTTATCTCCCCCCATTGCCTGGGGAATTCCAGCCTGGGATCTTTCAGAGTGTGGATCCATCATCCTCCACTCACTGCAACTGTCACCCTGCCACTGCCAGCCACAGATACAGTATGTCAGTGACACTGATTTTGTCTTTAATATTGGCACTGGTGGCATCTTATGGCACTTATTTTTGCAAATTAAAAAAAATTTAGCAGTTTCGTGTTTTGTTAATTTAATATTTTCTACTGTTTTTAAATGGTTTCTTTTTTTGGAGGGGGGCACAAGTAGCTGGTCTTGCCTAGGGTGCAAAAAATAGTCTAACACTGGCTCTGGTGGCACTAGGACCTAGGTAATATGACTAATATGAAATAGTGACATAAAATAATGACAACCTGAATAGCCTACAGCCGTGGTGGCAAACCTATGGCACGCGTGCCTCAGCAGGCACAACCCCCGCTGCCGGCACGCCAAGTTGCCCCATTACTGCTCTGCAGCCGAGCATCAGGTCCCGCACATGCACGGCTGGCTGATGACATCATGTGCCATGACTACCTCCCTAGCCACTCGTCAGAGCTTTCAGCATGCCTTCAGCCAGCTTGGTTAGCCAGCAGTGGATCTGCTACAAACAAGAATGCCGATTTGCTGCACTGGATGTGAGTTTTTCTACATATTTACCTGAGACTGACATTCTTTTAATGTCGTGCTGTCCCCCTGGCATTTAAATCTGCAGCATTGGGAACATTGCCCCTCTGTGCTGGTGGTCAGTGGAACATTGGCCCCTATGTTCTGGTGGTCAGTGGAACATTGGCCCCTATGTTCTGGTGGTCAGTGGAACATTGGCCCCTATGTTCTGGTGGTCAGTGGAACATTGGCCGCTATGTTCTGGTGGTCAGTGGAACATTGGATCCTATGTTCTGGTGGTCAGTGGAACATTGGCCCCTATGTTCTGGTGGTCAGTGGAACATTGGCCCCTATGTTCTGGTGGTCAGTGGAATATTGGCCCCTATGATCTGGTGGTCAGTGGAATATTGGCCCCTATGATCTGGTGGTCAGTGAAACATTGGCCCCTATGATCTGGTGGTCAGTGGAACATTGGCCCCTATGTTCTGGTGGTCAGTGGAACATTGGCCCCTATGTTCTGGTGGTCAGTGGAACATTGGCCCCTATGTTCTGGTGGTCAGTGGAACATTGGCCCCCTGTGCTAGTGGTCAGTGGAACATTGGCCCCCTGTGCTGGAGGTCAGTGGAACATTGGCCCCCTGTGCTGGAGGTCAGTGGAACATTGGCCCCCTGTGCTGGAGGTCAGGGGAACATTGGCCCCCTGTGCTGGAGGTCAGTGGAACATTGGCCCCCTGTGCTGGAGGTCAGTGGAACATTGGCCCCATGTGCTGGAGGTCAGTGTGAACATTGGCCCCCTGTGCTGGAGGTCAGGGGAACATTGGCCCCCTGTGCTGGAGGTCAGTGGAACATTGGCCCCCTGTGCTGGAGGTCAGTGGAACATTGGCCCCCTGTGCTGGAGGTCAGTGGAACATTGGCCCCATGTGCTGGAGGTCAGTGTGAACATTGGCCCCCTGTGCCGGTGGTCATTGGAACATTGCCCCTCTGTGCGGGTGGTCATTTGGTAGTTCTAAAGATGAGATCCTTAAAGTGTGGAATTCTCTGCAAAATACTTTTAAGTCAATGAAAACACTTGTGATTGCTTTTCGTGCTTTGGATCATTTTATGCTTGTAAGCAGCGGTTTGGTTTTCAGCTTTGAATTATATCAAATCTGATACAAGATGTCCTGAGTGCTGCATGTGTTTCTCTCAAAATAACGAAGTATGAAACACAATTTGACAAATTATCAGCATGCATACAACAGCAAAGATCACATTAATTGTGGAAAAGCACACCAAATGCAAACTTTTACTTTTCAATAAAAAGCTGTTTGTATCATTGAAAGCTCTATTATTGTGTTTTTCTTTTAAGACAAAAGATGTTAATGTAAGAGTTATCTTTTCTAAACTAAAACCTCAGTATTCAGGTTTAATTGCAGTGTTGACACTTTACGATAAATAAGTGGGT